CCCCCCCCCCTTTCCATATATTCACAACTTTACTTTTTTTTCTCATGCCTTTTCTCTTATTCATAAACATCTGTCTGTTGGGAAAAAGATGTGGCAGTTTGCTTCCTTGAAGATTTACAGCCTTGATAATCCTGTGGAGCAGTTCTACTTTATCCTGTAGGGTTGCTACGAGTCAGAGTCCACTCAACAGTGTGTTCTTTTGGTATAGAATAATGAGGTAGATGGGGTGGGCAGGTGAGGCCCTTTTTAGGTGGTAACTTTCTATTTAAATTCTGGGTATATGTAAGAACAACAATACAGCAAACAGAGAAGAGTACCCTAGGCATAGGGAATAGCAGGTGCAAAGTAAGGCTCTGACTCAGGAAGCGTTGGCAACAATTCGGGAACTCAAGGAAGGCCAGTGTGGTTTGTAGGATAGTGAGAAGAGGTAGAGGTAGGTACGCCTTAGAGGCCATGGTAAGGAGTAGTTTTTCTTCTAAGTGTGAGCGTGTGTTGTTAAAGAATTTCAAGCATCAAAAAAATGTAAATTTTATTTTTAAGAGAAAAGCTTCATTTTGTTCAGTTATTGTAATGCTATATTAATGTATGATTTTTGGATAAAACAGTGAGTTTATTTAAGGGACAGAACTTATGAACAAAACTTCCATTGACATCTGTTTATGTGAACAAGCTTTCTTTATGCTTACATTAAAAAAGAAGAAATAATAAAAGGAAAAGAAAATTTAAGTTTCAGTTGATGCTAACTAATCCTGTCTCTTTCTAGTAAGTAATGTTAATTCACAGATACACTAACCAGTTGCAGTAGGGGTGGGGAGATTAGAAAACTCTATCCATTTCATTGGAGTCCTTGTGTGGAGCTGTGGGTTAATGCGCTGGACTGCAAAGTCAGTTTGAACTGCAAGGTCGGCGGTTCAAGCTCACCAGCCACTCCTTGGAAACCCTTTGCAGGGTTGCTATGGGTCAGAACCAACTCAACAATTACAAAAAACATCCATTTTGCTAATGATGGATAAAATCTCAATAAAATGGTACTTACTTTGTTTACTTTATCAGTTATGTACTAATACAAATTATAATGATGACTTAATTCAGTAGAAAAGTATATTTAACACATAGACCCTGTGACCATTTGTGTGTTGTTGTTAGGTGATGTTGAGTTGATTCTAACTCATAGCAGCCCTGTACACAACAGAACGAAACACTGTCTGGTCCTATGTCATACTCACAACAGTTGTTGCACTTGAGCCCTTTGCTGCTGCTGCTGAGCTAGTCCAACCTGTTGGGGGTCTTCCTCTTAGCTAACTTTCCACTTTACCAAGTCCCCTTCTGGGACTAGGCCCTCCTAATAATATGTCTGAAATATGAGAGACAAAGTCTCACCATCTTGGCTTCTAAGGCATTCTGAATGGCTGTCCTTTTTCCGACACAGATTTGCAATGATTAAGTCATTGGTCTTGGAAAATTATATCATGCGATCTCCAGCATCATTTCTATCATCAAGGTCATATTTTCCAACTACTTAACCTTCTTTGTTTCCAACCTTTGCATTTCAATCGCCAGTAATTATCAATACATCTTGATTGCGTGTTTGATCAATTTCAGACAGAATGCTGGTAGAATTGTTGAGTTTCATCATCACTGGCTTTAGTGGTTGATGTGTAAATATGAATAATAGTGGTATTAACTAGTTTTCCTTGTAGGTGTATGGATATTATCCTATCACAGACAGTGTTGTACTTCAGTGCAGATCTTGAAATGTTCATTCTTTTTGATGAATGCTATGCGATTCCTCTTGAACTTGTTGTTACCGGCATAGTAAATCAAATGTTGTCAGATTCAGAATGGCCAGTACCAATCCATTTCAGCTCACTGATGCCTAAGATATCAATGTTTATTTGTTCCATTTCATTTTGACAACTTCAAATTTTCCTAGATTCATACTTCGTACATTCCATGTTCCAATTATTAATGGATGTCTGCAGTTGTTTATCCTCATTTTGAATGGTGTCCCATCAGCAAACAAGGCCATATTCCATTCACGTCATCACATTCAACTCCACTTTGAGAAGTCAGCTCTTTCCCAGTCATATTTTGAGTGCCTTCCAACCTGAAGGGCTCATCTTCTAGCACTGTATCTGGTGCTATTCAATATTCGTTTCATCTTCTGGCACCATATCTGACAATGTTCTGCTATTATTCATAACGTTTTCAGTAGCTAACCATTTAAAAATAGTCAGCCTTTGCAACCTTAGTCTGGAAGCTCCGCTGAAACCTGTCCACCGTGGGAGACCCTGTCAGCATTAGAAATACCAGGGGCATAGCTTCCAGCATAACAGTAACATGCAAACCACAACAGTAGGACAAGTGGTGGCTTATAGACATAGGGACAACTTTATAACAAGCATGTACCAAAAAACTCTGAAGTCTTAATTCAAATACAGAAATAATATGATGGTAAACAGAGAAACATTGAAGTTGTCAATGGCTTAATTTTGCTTGGATCCACAATCAGCTCTTATGGAAGCAGCAGTCAAGAAATCCAAGGACACATTGCTGTAGGCAAATTATGCTGCACCTTTTAAGTATGTCGAAGAGCAAGGGTGTCAGTTTGAGGACTAAGGTGCACCACACTCAAACCATGGTATGTTTCATTGTCTCATGTGCATGTGAAAGTTGGACAATGAATAAGGAAAATCACAGAAGAATTGATATACTTGAATTACTGTGTTGGAGAAGAATATTGAGAGTACCATGGACTGCCAGAAGGACAAACAAATCTGTCTTGTAAGAAGTACAACTGGAATGATCTTAGAAGTAAAGGTGGGGAGACTTCGTCTTTTACTCTATGGACATGTGGTCAGGAGTGACCAGTCCCTGGAGAGTGACACTGGTGAAACGGAAGTTCAGAGAAAAAGGAGAAGACCGCCCCCCTCACCCCCAACAAGATGGATTGACCCAGTGGTTGCAGTAATGGGCTGCTTCATTCTGTTGTACGTATGATTGCTATGGGTCACAACTAACTGGTCGCCACCTTAGCAACAACATCCATGGTTTTGTTTCAAAGGGCTTTGAACATAAACCTATACGTTGTTTGTTGTTAAGTACACCAGGGTTGGTTCCGACTCATAGCGACCCTGTGTAGGGTTTCTGAGGCACGTCTGGTCAGTTTGAACCACCAACCTTACAGTTAGGAACCCAGTGCTTAATCCTATAATGCCACACCAGGACCCCAAAGCAATATGGGGAGCAGGAAATAGAAATAAGGGTTCCAGGAGAAAAACAAGGAAGACTCTATTAATGTATTTTTTTAAAAAATGGATGATGGTTCATGTTAGTGCAGTGATATTTAGAGTTCACTGTATATAATTTAGACAGTGTTTGTGATTTTTATTTAAAATGTTCATTATATACTATGTACTGAAAATTCATTCTGTCTTAGCATTTAAACTCACAATGTAAAATTTAAGATGTGGGACAACTTAAACATGTGTGACAGGGTTCAAAGTTGGGTATATGGGACCAGAAAAAGGTGAGGGAAGCTGGTGGCACTTTGGTCTTAGGTGGTGGCAGTGAGAGTGGAGAGGCATGGGAAGTTTTGAATGTATTTTTGAGGTATAGTAGATGAATGACTAGTTGATTTAGTTGTGGAGTGTAAGAGAAAGAGGAATCACGGAGCACTTGTAGAACTTGGCTTATGTATCTGCGGATATGATGATGTATGTGCCGGGTAAGGGTTTGTTTAGTGGGAGGGATGTAAGAGCGCTGGTTGTCTCCTGGGAATTTTAGACCTGCTTTGACATGTCCAAGTGGAAATGGCAAGTAGGCAGCTGGATCTGTGAGTGCGGCTAGGAAGGCCTGGGCTATAGGTACCAGGGAAGGATGTCTTCAGCTCAGATAGCCTTAATGCATGGACTTTTGTAATCTCCCTTGTTTTAGATGCTTGTCTTTCACTCATCAGAACTGGTTTCTCCACCCACCCTCCATTTTTTTTGTGAAGTTTAGAGACATTATTAGACCTTATCAGAAGCCCTGATGGCACAGTAGTTACAGCACTCATCTGTTAACCGAAAAGGTTGACAGTTCAAACCCACTGGCTGCTCTGAGAGAAAGATGAGGTAGTGTGTTTCTGTAAAGATTACAGTCTTGGAAACCTTATGAGGCAGTTCTCCTCTCTCCTGCAGGGTTGCTATGCATTGGAATTGACTCCAAGGCAACACATTTGGCTTGGTTTGGGCTAGAT